TTAAATTACCTTGTTGTGTCTTTACTCAGTGGTTTTACTACTGCTATTTTATAATTGACACATGAATAAAGTTCATCATCATCATCATCATCATCATCGTTTCAGAAGAAACGGTATTCTAAAAGTATCAGTATGTTTTATCCGACTTGATTAAAACGAAACCTAAAAAGCGCATTATCCCATTCTATTGACAAGGATGAAAAAATAGAGGTGAATGGAAATGAAGCTATTTATAACCTTAATTTTTGCGAACTTCAAGTCACTCACAATCAGCTCGATTTAGAGGCAAACAAACCGCGGCACGTATGAGGAAGTCACTCTGAGAGGCCATTAATTACGAGACACCTTTTACTCTAAGATGTTAGAGGAATGGTTCTTCATATGAAAACAGTGGCAAAATCGGCCTTTTCCTATCAAAGCTCTTTGATTCTAGGTTATGGTAACTGTTGTTACAACTAGACAGCATAAAACAAGTAAATAACTTGGGAGAAGGATCGTTTTCGTTTTGATAGATGTGCATTTTTCAGTTTCTATTTTGGTATCAACCAAATTCTGTTTTATGATTTAAGTTCTTTAGGCTTCAACTTATGCGGAAAATGATCATCAGAGGCGCTATTCCAAGGCCAAAGCCAACTTCCGGTCAAGTTGAAGCGGCAACCGTTTGTAATTTTTTTTTAAATGACAGATTATGCAATATACTAAATTTAAGACGACCAAACTGAATGGGGAAAATAACAACAAATCTCCTCTAATCTCTGTCTAAAACTATCGGATGATGATATTGAAGTGTAGCTAAACATATGCTTCGGTCTCTTGCTACTTCCACATAAACATAAAAAAAAAAACTTCCACATAAAGGACTGTTGTTTGCTTAAGACATTTTATAATTATACTGAGGTAAGAAAATATTGTGCGGAGCTACATAGGTTTTTTAATTTGATGTTGTTCGAGGTTATTTGTAATCACGGTGGAATCAAGAATTTTTCGAAACTGGTCAAAATTGTTAGATGAATGTTACAAAGTTGTGTTTGGTATTGTGCAGATGTCCCTAATTCAATTTACCCAGTTATCTTCTGAGAACACTTATTAATTAAAACCTTATCCACACGGAATTGTAGCAAAGTTAGTTTCTATCATGAGAAAAATTAAACCGCAAACAACTCTATTTTAACAATACCGATGTAAACCTGCGAAACCTTGCAATTGGTTACGGAAATATTCGTTGAAAAATATCTTTGGCAAACATTGGACAAAATGGCGACTTACAGTAGCTGAACACTTCTTCTTTATGTAGACGTGAAGTTCTAAAATCGTCCTTGCTCACAGAAATGACTTGATTTCGCTGGTATAAACATTGGTAAAGATCTTCTGTGGTACAAAGGTTGGCATCCGCGGCTTGTGTGCGAATTCTTCGTTGCGTTCGATTTAATAATGTGTGTTCGCTTGTGGATTTAGGACGTGAAATGCCTGCGCTACTCATCTGAAATTCAAAAGGTAAATCGATTTATCACAAAACTGATGTAAGACTCAAGCACAAGTCCACTTATATAACACCGCTCATCCATTGCTCCCCACAGAGTCCAATGAAATAACCCAAGAGAGTTCAGGTGAAAAATATTTGAGATTACGCGGATGCGCGCCAAGAACGGATTGCCCTAAATTTTAAAGATGATTACCATTTTGACAAAGAAATTAGCGAAAGTTGCCACCGTCAGGGACTAAGGTTGGCATTGCAACGATCACTACAACATATTTCCAAGTTGCTAAGATTCCATAAGATTTTCAATGTGTGATTACTTTGTTTTGACTTTGACGACTTTGACGAACTTGTGACGTAATAAACTTAAATCGTGTCTATGACCGCAAGAGACGACCGTTTGTAAGTAACTATTTTTAGCAAGCGCCAAACTTATTTCATGTTTGTGCAAAGAAATCGTCTATCAAAACGCATACGTTTTGTGTTTATTTCTGTCAGAAGCTTCCTTTGCTCACATTCATTGTTGTTTCTTCGCCCGAGCAACCCCAGCTGCTACTTTCGACACGAGTTTATCTAGAAGGTTTTACGTGGGCAGTTGGAAAACATATTACCATTGCAGTTCATAAAGATAAGTCACTTGAATTTAGAGTGATCCCTTTGTGGTGAGGCGAGATCTCATCTGTTGTGCAGAGGTTTTAGCGAGTCTTGTCGTCCCTAACTAATCAAGCGTAACTTGGAGATTGAAAAAAATGCAAATTTTGCGTGAGAACTTCCACAACTTTGAATCCAAATGAACAAGCTCAACGAATATTTCATATTGAGGTACATTTTAATTAAACGGAGGTTTTTGGAACGAATTTGATTACTTTCCCGTTGAAAACACGAATTAATCGAGATCAATTTTCAACCACTATTTTAATTATTGTTATGGATTGGTAATTTTTTTAAAAACGCTTTTATGAACGAAAGTTTCTAGATCTGCCGAGTGTGATGATATGAATAGCCATCTGAGACATCATTTGGCTATTAAAACGAAAAGAAAAACCTAAAGTTAACGTTTCGACGCCTCTAGAACGCGTTGTTTGGTTTCTGTGTCTAATTATACACACCTCTCATCAGAAGGTTATCTGCACAAACCTTTATTTGCATCACATAAAAAATACAGTTTCCTTACCTCAGTGTGCTCGCTTGGAAGGAGGTGCAAAGACCTAAAGCTTACCTCAAAGGTATTAAGTTCCAGGGCATATTTCAAGGAAATAACTAGCAACACCGCCCATTTTGTGCAAGAAACTCGTCGTTGCGTTCATGGAGATTGACCAAGGTGTGCCCAACCACTCATACTGACTCAATAGAAATGTCAACATTTGATTGACATTCAAATTACGTCACTTTCACAGCGCACCGTCTGAGGGCATCGCGGCATGAAAGATATTCTTTAGTGAAAGTTTAGTATTTGCTCCCGTGCTAAATATGGTATGTATTCCTATAACAGCTCTCTTAGCTCTGTATAGTGATCAGAGTTGAAGTAGTTAGTTTTTTTATGCTGTATTCCAAAGCAGAGCATTTGTGCGATTAATGATTTTTAAAGCCTCTTTATTTTCCTAAGCCAATGAGAAAGTCAATGCAATTAAATTGATTTGCGTGTAAATCTAGCACTTAAAGATCAAGGGGAAGAAAGCCCATCACTGGATGTTTGTGATACCTGGCACTTGCTCTGCGGTTTAGGTAGCCCTCGAGGTATAATTCTTTGGGGGCCTTGCAGTTTTAAGCCGTACAAAACAATAATATCGACACGCGAAAGACTCTGAATGATTTACTACTGAAATATCATTTTTCTCTCTCTTACTTTTTTGGACAAATGTTTTTACTGTTTATGTGATTTCCACTCCACAACAATTAATATTAAGTATTTGTAATAAGTTATTAACAAGGTTGTGGTAAGTCTTATCTTCGAACATTACAGGATTTTAATGCAATACTATTAGTCTATCTTATTCTCTTCTGTTCACAAATATATTAGAAATGGGAACTCTTGTATATGTCCCAAACATTACCGTCGTGCTGTTGCAAGAAAATATGAACAGAAATGCCAGAGGAAAGGTGTATTCATCTGAGCCTTGCTCAACACTTTAAGTATCACAAGAGTTTGATTCCACTCAGTATGATTCAAATTAGCGCGGAATTTTTTTCCATTCGCAAGAGTTTTCGTAGGCATTACTGCACACGATACGTTCGATAGAACGAGTGTTTGCAAAAAGACTGTCGAGACAACTGCAGATCTTTATGCCTCTCTTACCCGTTAGCTCATTCTACATCTGATGTGACATTTTATTAGTTTTTGCACAGACATTTTCCTGGTTTTTGTGCAGACATTTTCCTGGTTTATGCGCAGACATTTTCCTGGTTTTTTGTGCAGACATTTTCCTGGTTTTTGCGCAGAATTTTTCCTACTCAGAATGGAGTGCAAGAGTTTGAGTGGGCGTCATTGCACGTGATACGTTCAATAGAACAAGTGTTTGCAAACACATCAGTGCCCGGGCAAGACAACCGCAGTTCTTCATGATTTTCTTACCCGTTAACAAATTCTACATTCGATGTTATTTTTTACAGTGAGGAGGTCCTTTTATTATTCTGTTCCTTAATTTGTCACTACGAGTGAATTCACACTTCCTCAGTCTGGAGAGGACGTTTTCTAGAGGCGAACAATCGGCCTCCAACATGTGATCGAATGTGGTTGTTCACAGTGGTTGCCCCCGTGAAAGAGCGTGAGCAGTACCCACACTTGAAGGGTTTCTTGCTGACATGGATGACAGCATGTGCGCGCAATTTACAGACATTGTTAAAAGAGGCTGGGCAGTGACCACACTGATAAGGAATTGGTGGGATCTGGGTACCAATTGCCATCTGAGACACAGACATTTCTTTAAAAGTTGTAGCTGTTCCTACGCTAAGCTCCGTGGCTTTGGAGTCGGTATTTACTGCTGCTGTCTTTTTACAAACATTTGATTCATCCCCAGGCAGCGAGAGTGATTCATATGATTCAGGACGTCCTCGCTCAGCTTCTGTTACTGCATTACCCTCATTCTGTTTCAGCGGACTGTAGCCATTCTCAAAGACGAACTTCATGTCTGGCACAGGTTTCATCGCGCCTTCGTGCTTGGGAGAAGAAAGCCTTTCATCGCCGGTCTTACGTATAGGAGAGCAATTTCCTTTCAAACTAACTGGATTTGATCCAAATTGGCTACTGGAATGAGAAACAGGCGAGGGAGGAGGACTGGGAAAGAAGGAACTTTGTGGACTGGTGTCTAACGGCTGGTTTGTTACGTGAGTAGTGACAACAATCACCTCATTAGGTTTGGAGCTGGTATCTAACAAAACAATGTAAAGTCTAGCTTAAGCTGCTGTAAACTTTTCATATCATCTCTGTCTTAAATATAAAAGCAATCATAAACACTAGCAACCACTCAATCACAACTAACTAACTAACAAGTCAAGCACAACCACTAATGTCATCTTTACCAGAGGTAAACCGTTATTTATCGTGAGATTCACTTTGAAACTTTTCAAATATTTCCCCCCATTTCTAACTATGCTGATGACACTTGACAGACTTTTAGTTATTACCACAAGTGCTTTAACGTCTCAGCCACTTATCCTCCAGTTCAGATGAACTTAAACATTTGTATTACTTTCTCTCATTTGTCACTTTAACGATTTTAGGCAAGAGCCCATTACCCGGAGCTTCCATCTCAGTTGTACCCTTGAGTCAACCCTGTCCCGTATCTTTTTATTTTTAGAACTGAGATATTTGCGGTGGCTCTTTAATCTTTCCGCGCTTTCCGCCATTATTGAAATAATTTCGTGCGGCCTGACAAGTGACACAATAGAGACGTAACACAATAGAGACGACAGCTCTCTTATGATTGGCTATTATAAAAACACCCGCGAAAACCGCCGTGGGAGGTGCTTCTAAAAATAGAAAGATACGGAACAGGGTTGGCGCAGAGGGTCAGTATGGAAGATGGAAGCTCCGGGTAATGGACTCCTGGTTTAGGTCAGAACTACAGAGGAATCCTCTGGAATTGCTCGTCATCTTGGCTATGTCTCGGTCACCTCCTAAAACTTACACTCCCCACCTTTCACTCGTTACGCAGAATACCAGGAACGGTGACCCGCCTCGTGTAACTGCCACATATATCCACTTCCAATCCAGGATTTAGTGGACTGTGGGTACTATGTCTCTTGTGGTTTTTGTTGTTTATTTGTTTATCTTTATTGTGACTGCTCAAATGTTAGAGGAGAAAGGGTCACTCACCACTTGGTATGACAGTACCCATGTCAAACATAGCTGAGGGGATACCAAAGTACTGTGGATATTTGTCGTCGTACCACACAAGCATTTCCTGTCCTGGTTGGATGGTCTTGAAAGCGCGATAAAACACCTTGCCCAGGTATTGAAAGGCAAACATGTTTTGTTCCCCTGTGTGTCGTGCGCAGCGGATAAAACGCATCCAGCTGGAATAATTTTCATCGCTGCCATCAATGCATCCTGTCATTATGCCGTCTTTGTAGATCTATTGGGAAGGGGGGGGGGGGTAAATCAAATATGTAATCGTCGTAAAGCCATTTGGCCAACACCCAATTAGTTTAAATTTGCTGTGTGTCTACCAAGCGATTGAGGACGTACTATATTTAAAATATTTTGCACGGTGTATTTTCCAAGAGAAACCCTACCTCCCACATGTAAGATGTGTCTACAGCAGAAGATATTTCCTCGGGCTTCACAAACTTTCCTTCATAGGGCCCAATCCATGCACCAATAGGAATTGTTCTCTTAGCACACACCCCATATCCTGCGCCAGGAATGCTGGACTGACACAAGCCAACTTCCGGCGGAAGGGATCTTATCGTGAGTGGTAACTGATTTGTTTGCTTCGTGCCAAGGCTTTCTAATCTGTGTTGAGGACACCGAAACTTTGATTCTACTAAACTGGCGTTACACCCTGAAAATGACAAAATCACAAAAATTCCATAATTCCTTGTGTGTGTCCATTCTAACCCTAACAAAACAAAAACAAAACAAAAAAACACGGACACAGAGTACAACACACAAATGAAAACTAAAATAATGGGCAAAAGTTGAAGGGGATTCGTGAATTAGGTATTTTATCCCTCTTCCCATGATCCATTGCGCTTCACTAGTACCTTGCGCTTTGTGCTTTGAATTTCTTTCAATTACTAATCCTGAATCATATGAAAAAGAGAGGCTGTCATAGAACACTAGTTAAAGCTGACTTTAACTTATTAACCCCAAGGAGATCAATCATTTACTCCAGCATACTTACAGAAGCAATCTTTTTGGTGTGTTACGGCTGATTGTTCGATGTTTAGGGGCCGAATATTGTTCTTGTCGAACAAAAAGCTCAGTAAATCTTCATAACTGAAGCTGTTCCCTGTAGAATTCCTTCTGGAGGGACTGAAATTAGCGTAGTTTTTCTGAAACCGTGGTTTCTTTAAAACAGGTTGAAAATTCTTTGTCGAAATCTCAAGATTTTGTTTCTAAAGGGGAAAGAATAAAAAAGGAGAATATCCTTAAAGCATACACTAGGATATCGATAGTGTTGATTTTGATTATAACGACAACAAATTTTTAATGATGATAAATATTCATCTGACTGACTTTGAAGAAATTCATCAGTGCGTGAATATATTCGCTTCAAGTAATAATCGCTGCTCAAAAGCTATTTAGCTTTCAAAAACAAAATGGGAATATTTATAGAATAAACAAATGCAGCGACTGACGGGATGTTTAATCGAATATTTTAAGATTCAAGGTAAAAAGAGGGGGAAAAAAGACTACTAGATTTAACAGATTTAGCGGAAATGGCTGTTAAACATTAACGCAATATTGCCGAGCTGAATTATCAGTTTTTGACTGTTGGGATATTAACATGCAGGTTTAAAATACAGTTCATGAAACATAAAACCATACTGGACCCATTTCTTCAAACAATGATTCCTGATGATGCTGTTTACCTTTCGCTTTACACTCATTTATGTCTAAATTCGATGCAATTTCTTACCTCGTATGTTAGCTCCATTTCATTGAAGTATTCTTTCGGTTTAACTCAGGTGCTGTGCGTCAACTTGGTTTTTGTTATTGTCTTTACCGCGGGAAGGCCCACAAGAGAATCCGGACATGTGTGCTTCGGTCTGTTTGTCAAATTTGTGATTTATAATTTAACTAAAGAGACGGTTTACACTTTAGCGCCCTTTTTGCTATTTAATTGAACGTCCACGTACGAAGAGAGTATTGTTTTCTTACATAATTACCACGATTGGGCTCCCAAACAATGACACTGGTTTCAATAATTTCGCGCCATTTCCGCATGTATCAGCTCGCCTAATTTTAGAGCTACAACCATTTCCCACATGGCAATATTGAACAAAGTTTCAAGGATGCATTGATCAATGATGTAAATGAAATTATAATAATACAGCTATCGTCTGAGATAATTCATGAAACCTGACGCAGTTAAAAGTGATTGTGAAATTCGCCTGAAAATATTTAGAAGTTTAACTTTCTCTGAAATGATTTTTTAGCGCCAAAACTGTTAATGTATTCGAAATATATGCTGACACCTTCCTTTTGTTTATAACATTTCACGCAGATCGTTACGTAGTAATAATTATATCGGATCTCCTAGAACTATTTATTGTTGATTATTCCATTTCTTGGCCCATACGAACAATACTACTTTATCCGATAAAGGGCGTCAGTTTCTAAAGAAACGTCAGCTTTGAAAATCTTTACGGTGGCCAATTTACTTTATCAACTCAATTGATAAAACCAAAATTACTATTTTATTCGGCTGTCTTGTTAGCAGCCATCGTCTCCCCGTTTCTATTATGTGCAATCAGATTTTGCTCACGTGTATAAATGATTCAAACTCATGATAACTTTGAATTTCTGTAAAACTTTTAAACATCAAACATCAAATCTTTCCGCATACACCAAAAAACCAAGAAGAAATGTTTTACCCTCTCACGGACTGGACTTTTGTCACCCTAATTATCCCATTCGAAACCATTGCTGGTATAAAGTTAATGAAAGCTTTATAATGCTTTTAAGTAACTCTTTTCAAAGCAAAACGTAACCCTTCTTAAGAGCCCTGCGAAGAAAAAGGATTTGAATATTTATAAACCCGTTTGTTTATCACAGCAATCTGCGACGTTGTACTTCTTAAAAGACTGTTGGCGTTTCTCTCGCTGAAGAACGGTTTCCTTTCGTGCACAGCGATGCACATTTCCAGGGTATTTAATATCATTATATCGAGTTTTGACAGGAGAACTGTCCTTACTCACAAACTTAGTTATACAAAATCAATTTCTGATTTAAATACCAATAGACCGAAAGACTTTGGAAAAAACTGTCTGATTATTAATGACTTTTTAAATTGTGTCTGCTGCAAAAGAAATCACTGCTCCGTGAAGAACTCATTAGTTAATGTCAACATTTGACAACAATGGACACAGATATCTTTGGGGAACAAGAGACAAAAGGAAAAGATTCCCGAGAAGCTTCTAATCTCCGATTTAAGAAAACACGCCGCACGTATTTGCATGGAATGCAGTCTTTTAAATGGCCTGTGGAGAACAAACACCTAATTCCTATTGTTAGTTGATATTACTTTGTGAATCCAACATACCAATGTGCCAAAGGCCTGAGTTATCAATGTTACTGCCCTCACGGAAGTAATTTCGATAGCTTGTTACATAGAAGATGTCAGCAGAACAAGTTTTTTAAGAGCAGTTTTGATGTATGGTACCTTAGTTAAGCTATGACAAGGACCTCTTTCACAAATATGTAAATGCAAATAGCATGGCTTCTGCACACAAAAGAAGCCGTCAGAAATAAAAGAAGTCAAGCAAAGCAGATTTATTAACTCTTCTGAATTAAAACTGGCGGGAACCAAAAATACTTTAAGCATAAAACGAATTAACACATGCTAACTAAATAAGCGATATTGGAAGCCTGACGTTTCAAGAGGCGGGGGTCATTTTAATACCCTCGTTTTAAGTCTTAATTGGGCTTTGTATCCAGGCCTCAAAGTCAAGCAGTTCAATCGCGTAAGTATGATCTGGGAAAAAGATTTGAACCTGATCACTCATGGGTCCTCCCAACAACCACCACCCCACCCCCCTCCTCCCCACTGTGTAGAGAATCTTGATGCCCATCAATCATTGTATGCTCTATATGATAAAGAAGACACTGTGACGTGTTCAAAAATTTTATTTCCTTTGTCTACCTACACAGTGAAATAGTAATGCGATATACCTCTGATCCTGTGATGTACATTGGTTAAAAAAATCTTTCAATAAACGCGCAGGCATTTTTTTGCAAGAACGCAAAGTGCAATTTCTCCGTTAATCTTTTCTGACTTTTTTTGTTTTTCAGTTTGATTAAGTATCTTATTTTCACATTTTTATCCATAATTTGAGGTTTCTTTCGACTAAATAAAGAGCAGTTTACTCCTTTTTTAAAAAAATAATGTAGCATGAAAAAAACCCTCGTGGCTTAGAAGGTCGACAGCGTATGTGCTGTGCCAGTATCAGTTCTACTTTTTTCCTTCACGAGGTCACACGATTCCCGCGCGTGTCTCGCGAGGTGCATAGCCTGTGAAAATGTCTTGCCGCACTTCTCGCAGCTAAAAGGTTTCTGACCCATGTGAGTCCGCACGTGATTATTCAGCGTCGTTGCCCCAACGAACGTGCGCGAGCAAAAGCCGCACTTGAACGGCCGCTCTGTTGTATGAGATACCACGTGCGCGCGCAGTTCTGAGGAGTTAGTGAATGTCTTACTGCACTGTCCGCATTGGTAAGGTTTGGTTGGTTGGGTTGGACAAACGTGCATTTGTAATGCAACTCGCTGAGTGAAAGTCTTATGGCACTGTTGACATCGCCATGATGTTAACTCGCTTGTTTGACTAGTTGGACTGGGTATTCTATTGTTGCCTAGGTTAGCGACGTCACTTTTCACGTCACTTTTCAAAGGAGACCTCTGGTCTCGTGGTACGCTCTCTAACGATGGTCGTCTTTGGTTCAAGGTGTATGTCGGAATAAGCGGAGGTAGTCTTTTTGCATCAGTCGGCGGAGTTTTCGTATCTGAAAACAAGTTACAAATAAAACTAATCAGTTGCTTTTCCTTTTCATAGGGGATCAACTATGCAGGGTTAGGGGTAGGAGACGTTAATTTCCCACGCACGAGATTACTGTGTGATAGTGGGTTGTTGTCTAGCGTTTCATACATGAGCCTCTGGCTCGGGCAATAAAAAGACATTAAACTTTGATTACTATTACATACCTTGAGAACTCCAAACAGGACTTGTACTTGGCGTGAACTGGGAACTAGAGGCTGTTCTTGTATATCGGGTAGTGTCTTGAGGTTTTACTGAGGATGATATTGAGTTTATTGGTCGGTTGGACTGTTGCGGTACCATTTTGTCTTGTTTTTTGTCATGCGTGGCTGTGAGAATGACAAGTTATTGAAAATTGTGAGGATTGCTTAGCTTGTAATGCCTTACAATCTGGCTGACAATCTGGCTGGCAATCTGGCCGACAATCTGGCTGACAATCTGGCTGACGATCTGGCTGACGATCTGGCTGGCAATCTGGCTGGCAATCTGGCTGGCAATCTGGCCGAAAATCTGGCTGACAATCTGGCTGACGATCTGGCTGACAATCTGGCTGGCAATCTGGCTGACAATCTGGCTGGCAATCTGGCCGGCAATCTGGCTGGCAATCTGGCGGACAATCTGGCTGACAATCTGGCTGACAATCTGGCGGACAATCTGGCTGGCAATCTGGCCGACAATCTGGCTGACAATCTGGCTGGCAATCTGGCTGACAATCTGGCTGGCAATCTGGCTGACAATCTGGCTGACAATCTGGCTGGCAATCTGGCTGGCAATCTGGCTGACAATCTGGCTGACAATCTGGCTGACAATCTGGCTGGCAATCTGGCTGACAATCTGGCTGACAATCTGGCTGGCAATCTGGCTGACAATCTGGCTGACAATCTGGCTGACAATCTGGCTAGCAATCTGGCTGGCTAATTGACGTATAGAGCGGCCCAATGACAGATTGGATGACTGATAGGATTACTGACAAATTGTCAATCAACTGACTTTGTGACTCACAATGACTGACTGATAGGATTACTGACAAATTGTCAATCAACTGACTTTGTGACTCACAATGACTGACTTAATAACTCACAAAAGGCTGACTGACACAAATTCGACTTACTAAGCAATGGCTGGATGGCTGGATAGGATGATCAACGAAGTAACTAAGTAGCTGAACTGTTGGCTGGCAGTTTTACCTACACATCGATACTGACTGAGGAAGTCTGAGAAATAATTAGCCAACTCATTCACTAATTACTTGCCTGTTTATCAATCGAGAACCACTAACTATCTGTCGCTGCATGTCATTTGTCTATCTCTCTCAATGACGATGTAGTTACCTTTCTGACTACCTCCATCTTTCAACTAACTTGTGCTATTCAAAAATAGTTGAAAATACAAATTAAGTTACACTGGTGGTTAAAAGCGTTTCTGAAATTAGTAACAATAAAAATGTTCCCGACGTTTCGGTCGCAATCATGGACCTTCTTTAGGGGAAGTGAAAGGGAACATTTTTATTGTTACTAATTTCAGAGACGCTTTTAACCACCAGTGTAACTTAATTTGTATTTTCAAATATTTTTTAATGTACCCACCTGGTGAGAAACCCAGTTTTAATAACTTGTGCTAGATATAGATGAGAGGCTTTTAAAATACACACTGCCTTAACTTGAACATCAATTTGACCCAATATCTCACCTGAACTAGCTTCACCTGGAAAAGCGCTAACGAATGGAATGCCCATGTACATCGGGTATTTGTCATCGTACCATACAAGCAGCTCTGTGCCTGTTGGAATATCTTTGAACGCTCTGTAGTAAATGTTTCCGTTAAACTGAAATGCATACAAGTTCTGCTCGCCCTTATGTCTTGCGCAGCGGATAAATCGCATCCAACTGGAGCAGCTCTCGTCACTCCCGTCAATGTAATGAGACAATGTGGAACCTTCGTATATCTGTGGGATTGATTGCGTTTTATTTAAATGCACATGCGCGCTATTGTATTGTTTTCGTGCGTCCTTTACGAACCAGTGCGGCAGCGTAGGAAGCTTAACAAACGAGTGACGTAACGGGGATCGATGATGAAAGACCTGTGCTCTCATCTTAAACTACTTCACCGATTAACAGCAAAGTGTTTTGACACTCAAAAAACTTTCAGAGTTCAAACTGGACCTATTTCAGATCCTAATCCTCCTGACTCATCATCTATTGTCGGGCATGAGAACAAATTTCAGTTGGTTTCTATTCTCTTTTCACCTGTGAAAGTTAACTCTGGAAGAACTAGATCTTTCCCAATCATAGTCCTGATCTTGTTTTTATTAGAAAAACACGATTTTTATGTACTTTTTGCTAAATCCTACATCATTGCTGTCGTGGTCAGCTTCCTAAATTTTGCACGTCTTCTGCGATGAATTTCTTATAAATTGGAGTCAAACGAACGCAATACTGCTCCTTACTTATCTAAGCTGCTTTTTTTTGTTGCGACAACAACTGGCCGCTATTTTTCAACAGCGCGAGATGAGACCCAGGCTCCCAAGGCTCCCTATTTCAATTTACCTCCCACATGTGTGACGTATCCATTTCTGATGTGACGTCACGTGGACGAATTCGTCTTCCTTCAAATGGACCAATCCATGTTCCCGTAGGAATGGGCTGATTGGTGTACACACCGTACCCCTCCCCAGCCGAGTAGGAGACTCCAAGCTTACATTCCGTTGGTAAGGACTTGACGGCGTAGCTTACACGTTTGTCAATCAAAGGCTGAGTGGATTGCCTATGCAGGGCGCATGAGCCACGGGGCATCGATTGACAAAGTTCACATGCTGAAGGAAAAATTAGTGATCAGAGTTAGACTGCTCCAACCTTCTTTGGGAATATTTATATGAATCTTTTCAGGACTGACCGGTGAGTAATTTCTGCTTACGTTATCACTATACAGCAATGTGATGAGGATAAAGTAAAAAAATATCAACTGAGGGCTATGGTTTGATTCATTCCCAAATTCTCAGAGCAAAAACATCAAGAAATGTATGGCAGACTGTTGGGAGAATTGACATTGAGATCTTGAGAATGAAAGGTTTTGCCCCACTTATGACCAAGACAATCGATTTTGTAAGTAATGATGGTAAAATCTTCATCATGGATTATTTCAAAATCTATGGATATCTTTGCCATGATTAGATGGCTAGTGTCTGAGGAAAGTACAGGCTCTGACATGCTCTACCTTCATCATATACTTATAGAAAACTAGAATTATCTCTGGCAATTAAACTTTCAATAAAGGTCTTTGTCTGCCCCCCTTTTTTGCCCTGAGCAATGCTTCAAGAAGGTAAAACATTCCATCTGTCCACTCGCGTGACGCTGCTGCCAGTCAAAGTGAGTGGAAAAGTCTGTGGAGTTGTGTGCTTAAACTTTCCATATTTCTCTCGAGGTCGTTAAATCAAGTTTTCTGTGACTAAATTTAAAATTGAACTTGATGATAAATAGCTTTTTGTCAAGTTGTTTTTTTATCATAATTTACATCAACGAGTTTGCTTATCCATGCCGTGGACAGAATGTTTGATGCGAAAAATCTGGTAATTTTTTCAGCTAACGTGTATTGAGGAATCAATCTTAACGTATAACTCAACAAAGTTCAGGAGTAAAAATACGTTGAATATTTTTCCTCCTTTTGTTGAAACATCAATGCAACCGTCTACGTTATTAACATAATTGGTTTGAATGGTATCCCCCCAGTCTTGAATACTTAACTGAAAAGAATGAATGTTAAAGGACAGCATCATAAACTTTAATTACCACAAAACTATTATCGCAAATATTTCTCATTGAAATAGTTGCCAATTTAGCTTTCGTCCGCCTATTCGAACGGAAATCTGCGGTACATACTAGAAAATATTTCGCAATTGTGGCAAAGAAGTTTGGATTTACGTCATGTTTGGTATAGACCTAACTTTCGTGCGACAAAACTCCTTTATAAATAGATTTTATTTAATTGCATGACTGCACATCATAACGTAGGGCACTCAGAGGTGAATAAAGCGCAACCACTGCACAGTCACAGTTGGGAAAACTATGAAATACTCTATCAATCATTCCAAATAAATGCCTGTAACTACTAAAATGGTTGTCAAGATTCTAATTTGTTTGTTTGGCTTTAGGTAATTGTCATTGAATTGAAGTATTTTTCAAACAACCACTGTAGTTTAAAAAGAATAAATTAAATCCCAAGCCTTATGAATGACGTTTCTGCAGCAGCCAAACTAAATTGTATGATCTTCTTGAAAGTAAGCTCTCGCCAAATAACAAATTTATAATAGTCACTAGGCCTCACCAGATAACTGATCAGGTGAGAAAACTGGTGACCAATGTTGCGACATTAATACATTTCCTCCACTCGTTTCATCTTACGTGATTATACACACAAAATAATTTAAGCACCTAAGAAGGTTTTGCTTTCAAGTGCAATTTTTTTTCGAGGAAAGAAAAGGGATGATTTGTTTCTTAATTGTCAGGTGCAGACAAGGAACTATAGTATTACTGGACTCATCGATAATTGTTAAAGCCGAGAAAAAAGTCGAGATGTCCTCTTCAAAACCGTAAATAAATCAGGGACAATCTTAGACCAATGAAAGCAAATCAGAAAACTGAGTATAAATGCGCGTGTTTATTCCCATCAATACGCGCCTTGACGCGAAGTCGCGCGTGATTGGTTTTGGTTTCCAGTCAAAATATTTTCGGCGTACGAAACGTTCTAAATTATGTTCACAAAAATTACCTGGATTGAGTGCTTCTTGTTCTACAAAACGCCCTGCTGACTGCGAACCAATTTCATCTTTATTCACCTGCCATCGTGTTGTTTGGCCATAAAGGACGGTAAACACTTCTGAAGGGGTGAAATATCTGGGGCTCTGATGTGAAGATGCATTGGGTTCCAGGTTAGATGGCAAAGCAATCTGATTCAACTGACAAGAAATTTTATGTCTTAAAATTACAAAGAATCTCGAATTAACCTGAACATTAAATCTACGGGAGATAGCATATGTAAATTAATTAGGTCTGGTCGACTGAACTACGTGTTAGAACAAGACAACTGGTTCTTTAAATTGCAAATGCAATGAGTGATATTTGCCTTAGCAGTCGATCATAGAAAAAGTCTGGTTGGAATAAGTACTTCCCGGCAACAGTAAATTAACAAATATGTTGGCACAATCCGAAAACAAAATGTACTTTCTGTTTTTAAATAAGAGGCATAGAGAGGACAAGAAATAAAACCGCCTTTTTTGTTCCCCGCTGAAATCGTAATATATCTCGTTTGCTCTACACGGAGCATTCTCGGAATTACTCTCTCTCTCTGTTTAATGCTTACCAAATTTAGCTCAAGCCTCTTTTTAGCCTCTTCACTAAACAGATGTGACATTTTGCAGGACACGTCTTGTTTGCTCGATTTCCTTGTCATAAAATGTGTCAGCTGAAGGCTAAAGTGCACCGATTGAATTTAAAAACAATCTGAACACTTTGGACGGGCGTTGAATTGAAGTTCCAAAATGTTCATTTCAGTATAAGCTGTCACTTATCCACGCTTGGCTTGAAATAAGCTCTATAAAGTTATCTGATTGGTCAATCTCACCCTTCGCTTCTACGGTGTTCTTTTCATTGTCATCATGAAATAACTTGAATATGAAATAAACGCCTTCTCTGAGTGAGTTCGAATGATGTACGATGATGTGCACGTGAAGTTGTAGCGGGCTGTTGCACTGTAAAGTCTGTGGTCTTGTGGTAGTTTCGTTTGTACAGTTATCTATCTAGGGTCTTGTGAGATCTTTCTACTCTTGTGTCTTTTCGTTTAAAGCTTTGAATAGATCACGTCCTTGGTTGAGTTAATTGTTCACGAATTTCTAAAGCCACTCAACCATAGAAAGCGTGTTATTAACAAACGCAGACTAAATTTTTTTTTCGCAAAGTGGTGACGTCGAAATGTCGCATAATGATTCATTAGAGAAGAAAGATATGTTCGCAAGGTGTTTTGTGGTCTTCTTTGAATGCAAAGACGAAAAAAGTTCACTTAGGTCATTTAAGAGGAAATCATAATTTGCATACTAAGGGTAGGTAATCACAATAAAACTATGCAATTGGACTTGATTAACACTAATCAAGCTCACTCAAAATAGAAACAGGAATTTCAAGACAAATTGACTTCTAAACCACATAAATCTCAAAGGAATGGTTGATTCAGTTTCTTAAATCCTACAAAGTGGTCAGTCACTTGTTCTTCAATCGCCTTACTGTGACGCAGAAGAAAGCAAATTGGTCAAGTGAAGCTACATGAAAGGTTTCATCTCGATTTAACTGTACTCCGCGCCTGTGCTGGTTTGGAATGATATTTTTAGAAACGGCCGGGGAATACATCTAGAACGAACAATCAAACGCAGTTTTAGAGGAATATGATAACAAAATGGCGTTCAGTTATGTCCTTAAACAATGACTCTACTCTCAAAACATTTCCTTTGATAAGTGAACTTTCTAGAAATCATTAAATGACGAAGATCCGAACCATCAACAAATGTTAGCGGCAAGATCCGGAAATATGTAAGATCAGGAAGGAAGAGAATTGCTCTCACACAGTATGGAAACATAGTTTATTTAACCCGCGAGCCTACAATAAAATACTTTTCATTTTTCCAGACGTCAATGACGCGAATTCACTAAAATATATAACACAAGAGAGGCATAGACGTTGGAGTGTCTCAATGGGGTCAAACGGCCAAAATTTTACCACCAGCCCGTAAAAAGGATAAATTTTAACCATGAACCGTCAAAAAATAGCTCAAAGTGAGCCGTCAAACGGTTCAAAGTCCTTTCAAATCTCCGCATTATTTTAGTTGCTTGCCACGAGTAGTTTAAGATCCCGAAGAATTGAGGAACCAGTAGTCTCAGTCAAACATATTTCCCTTACAGTCATTTTGTCTAATTTTCGCCTTAACTGGCAATTTGAAAGTATAAATGTATAACTTGTTACTGTGATATCTGAAAAAAAGCTGACTCTTTCTGACCACGTCTCGCCTCGCCAATCTCGCCGTCCGACCAAACAAAAACTTATAGCAAGTTGGGATCATGTCGAACGTCCTGCAATCCGACGGTCTTCACCTTTTATCGCAAAAGCGGGAGAAAAACCTCGTGAGGGATACAAGAAACGAGTTTTACAGTCTAAAAAACCAACAATAATTCGAGTGGAGCTATCACAATTTTTGTCCGGCCGAAGACACGCAGAGAGCGGGTTAAACGGCGAGACGTGCTCATAGGTATTGACTTGTTGCAAATGTTATTGTTGCGAAGTGTCAAGGTTCAAGGTTTTTCAAGGTTAGCATTATTGTTGAATAGTCTAAAAACCCCACAAATCGAGTTTCCTGATTATCGTCTGCTTTGTCTACTTGTCTGAATTGTCTTTCTGAATTGGTCGTGTTTTTTACTTTATTATGAGTTCTTTTTCTTAAAGCCGTTTAGGTTTGATTGATTATTCTGAGGTCCTCATGTCCGTCTTGTGCACGAGAGCCTGCAAGACCGAACTCGTTGTTTTTACCTTTGAGTAGTTTGTTAAACGTGCTTCTGGAACAATGACTTCCAACGGAGGTCATGTTTGGATTTATCTACCGACCGGCTTGGTTAGGACCAACACCAGAGTTCCTGTTTTGGTTACAGTGTCCACAGATCGGCTCTTTATTAGGAGAATATCAAACACTTTGTTGCTTAGTTCTACGGTGCCATGAAAGTATCTGGCTTAGCGCCTTGGTCAAGAGATTTAATCCTCCAAAGTCAATCGCCTATAACCCAAATATGTTGGCCAATAGAGAAATATGTTGGCCAATAGAGAACCTAGGGGTATGCACGAGGGAGACGGTTTAGCAGAATAAGTGGTTGGCTTTAGAGGGTATGAAAAATAATAATAATAATATTAATAATAATAATAATAATAATAATTATAATAATAATAATATGAAGAAGAAGAAGAAGAAGAAGAAGAAGAAGAAGACGGAAGAGGAAAAAGCGCAAAGAAGAGTATTGGCCCCTCTCGCCAGCGCGGGTCGGCCTCTCTGACAAAAGTTAGTAGGGAGCTTCAGCAGCCACGACGAAAGGGACGACGACGAAGTCAAGCAATCGCGGAGGGTCTGGAACGAGGACGTCGTTTTTAGCGGGAAAATGAAACTTAGGCAGTGAAGTTGCTCAAGGACGGCGACGTCTGAAATCTTGAAATCTTGTTTATTCTCGCTTCGGATCAGTTTAAGAAATGACATCGTTCATAGACGTCCAAAACCTTCTTCTTCTCACTCATGGATCAAATTTCTTCGTATATATCGAAAGTTCGAGAGTAGGTTATTCAATTCTTGAACATCAACAGTCCAAGGAATTATTAAGCTTTAGCTTTATTTACAATAATTTACGCATCGCAAAAGTTTAAAATATTAAATTTTACGCAAGTTGTTTGAGATTTAAATTCAGTTCTAAGTGTTGCTGATATAAACAAACCTAATTTGCACAAGGTTTGTCTGATTTTCAACATGCTTTAGCCTGATTTGTTCTACCTTTGATGCTCCTTCCTTTGGCGAGCAAACGACGTAAGTCTGTCAATGTTAGCTAGCGATCGGCACAGATAGTAGTCGTTGCGCTTCACCCAAGAATACTATTTTTCCCGTGTGATTTTGTCGGAATAATTTTTGTGGCTGTAAATCTATATCAAACATTTTGAAAATAGATTCGGAAAACCTGACAGGTATTCAAACTCATGTTAACACACCGATCTGAAGAATTCTTTGTTGTTTAAAGCGTCTCGATTGAAGAACAGCAACACGCAAAATTTTTAATAGCAATAAACCGGCAGTTCCATACACAGCTTTTGACCGAGCACAGAGGTGTATTACACTGCCATTTAAAAATTTTCATTTAATAAAAATGATAAACAGCACTCTTACATAAAATATACTCAAATAAATTTAAACCTGACGTGGTCGCTTTCACCGCTTGACTTGACATCTGTTGTGCGGAGGAAGGAATATGAGTTGGTGGGTTTTCGAGTTTTATTTGTTTAGGAAATTGAACAGGGTGGTTTAAATCAAGCGAAGAAGCGAATAAAAACTCCAACCGGCTATAGACTGTCTAAAATCTGACAACAAACCCGCACTTTTTGATGAGAAAAACTGCTTTGAAGTTCGGAAGTTCACGACGACGTGAAACAGGTCCGTCTCAAGTCGTCGACGACAAGAAGGCGGCGGAATTCTTGGTTCGCGCTTGCGCAGTGACTTTCTTGCTACTTCCGGTCATCGTCCTCCGTTTGTCGTCGTGGTTACTTAAGCTCCCTAGTTTCTCCGTCACTACGACGTAACATAGTATTGCAACGTAACATTGTATAACAGAGTTTGTTTTCTTTGCCGTCGACACCCTCCAACCGCTTTTACGTGAACGGCAAGAGTGACCACGTGACCTTCTTTTTCCCGCCATTTTTTCTCGCTTCCTGGTTACGCTTTGCGGTTTTTACTTGAAAGTAACCTGTTTTGCAGTTGCCGTGTACGTAAGATTTTCTTCACTTTTTTCTCCCACAAAGTAGAAGTTAATGCCCGAGAAAAGGGCAGCAAAACTTTTCCTTCTAAGTCATACAAGGGCGCCTTCAAATTAACCATGACGTAAGCTCACGCCAAGCTAAAGCAGCAAAGTTCACGCTATATTGCGTGAAACGTGAAAGGGCAAGCCGAAGATTGCCGTTTCACGTAAACGCGGTGCTAAATCTCCCTGTTAACTAAAAATATGGAACAGGTCAACTTCTCTTGGACAATTTTGTCAAACTGAAAGTTACGATAGTGATAAGAACTGCGAAAAAATTTAAAGGGAGACTTCTTTCACAGAGTGGATTTAACTGCCAGTTCTCAAATGAGTCAATAAAGAAATTTATGATCATCGGTTGGCTGAATTGGGTTTTTAGATGTTAGTGAGAAGGTTAAGGGATATCGCGTCAGTGATACCACGTCATTGAGCGTAAAAGACTCAGTGGGGTAGGGTGGGAACCGCCACAGTCTTTCAGTGTTCATTCTCCAAAGTGAAGTAATTGAATTATCCCCCAAATGGTAAAAAAACGAACACAGAGTTTTGATAAAGCAAGGAAGTTATTTATTCATAACTGACTGTTGATTCATATTACGAAAATGAATGGTTTGAATTATAAATATATGCCTTTTTCAAAGGTTTGGTAAATGTACAAGATATCACTCGATGACTATTTACAAGATGAAGCCTATAAAGATGCCTGCAGAACACTATCACTGTATTGAAGAATTACTCGGTAGGGGAATAACAATAAAAACCATAGTTTGAAAATTTCCAGTATTTTGTCGTCTATTTTTTAACTTAAAGTCTGGTTATTCCTGACTATCAAAAAGTGCATCTTGTTTTTTTACAACCTAAATGAGATTTAAATGAGTTGGAATAAAAAAAAAATTTTTTCATAACTTAATCAGGTTATTTCTGAAAGACTATTCCCTCTTATTCCACATACTTCCTTGTCTTTGTACAGGGTTGGAACAGGAATATTTAAAAAATGACATGAACTATAAAATGACTGTTGACTACACAGGCGAATTATCTCAATCAGGTGTGTATAAAAGGCGAAAAATCGAAACGTAAGCATAAACTTTAGTCAACGTCAGTAACTATACAATCTGGAAAGACACAGTGCTGCTAAAAGCACTTTTAGAGTGTGAGTTTTCCCTTTACAGAACGTTATCAAATGTAAAAACCTCGTGTGTGTCATGAATCAGTAATTGTCTCTGGGCAAACACTCGTAGAGAGATCTTTTGTGCTTGCTAAGTTGCGATGCTTGTGAAAATGTTTTGTAGCACTTGTTGCAGGTAAAAGGCCTTTCTCCTGTGTGGGTTCGGACGTGGTTGTTAAGAGTTGTTGCTCCGGCGAAAGTCCGCGAGCAAAACCCGCACTTGAATGGTTTTTTCCCTGAATGAATGACAGCATGCGTACGCAACTCGTTAGGATGCGCAAACTCCTGCGAACAGTGGCCGCATTGGTAAGGTCTGTTTGGATTTCTTGCACAGATCTGCATTTGAAGCAAGCTGCGCTGAGCGAAAGACTTGTCGCATTGACCACAATGCCAGATCTTTGGTTCGCCATTTTCCAAGATGAATTCCCCATCAGCAACACGAGGCCATTCACATGGCAACTCCGTCTTGTCCTGTAGGTCCTTGAGACGCGCTTCCTCCAATTTCCTAAGCATCTCCTTTGGTCCGTCAGTCTTGGGCGTGTTCTGCATCTTCGCCTTCTTGTTGCTGCCATTGCTATCTTCACATTTCCTCTTGATGTTTTCCTTTGGAGCCTGTTTTTTTACATGGACCTCTCCTTCTGTCGCGCTTGGAGTCTGCGTAGGTCTTGTCGGAGGTGAGTCACGTGGTGATCTCCTATTAGAAGATGTTTGTAATTGAGCAGAGGCTTGTTTTCCAGCTGTTATTGACGGAGGAGGAATGGGGGAGACCTGTTGTCCATCTGTGTAAGTCGTTGGCATTACTGGGTAAGGCCTGGATCCTAAAGAGCAAAGTAAACTAAAATTAGTATCATAGTCGAACTTCGAAAACTGCCTGACAAGTCTGACATTTCTTGTTATCAATTAAATCGCAAGAGTGTCATGTCAAACTCGTCTTCAATATTGTTTTAGCCATTCGCTTTCTTGTCAATTCTATCTTTATTTTTCCTATAACAATGACAAGAGGGATGAATCGAAACAAAGGCGATATAGGCAGTTGTGTGGCATTCTACGTGTCATATGTGAGAGAGATATCAAGAAAAACTGGTCTTACCCGTTGAATTCAAGTCGTGAATGCTTATCGGAATACCAAAATATTGTGGGTAGATATCTTCGTACCACACAAGCAGCTCTGTTCCTACAGGAATATCCCTGAACGCTCGGTAATAAATGTTGCCACAGTACTGGAAAGCAAACAGGTTTTGCTCGCTTCTGTGGCGAGCACATTTAATGAATCGCATCCAGCTGGACGAGTTCTCGTCCGTTGCATCGAGGTAATACAAAATTTGGCCATCTTTGTAGATCTAAAATGAATAAGAGTCAGGTTAAAAATCATCCATCGAAATGTATGCACAATAGAAAGTTCTTTATACATTCTGTTTACTGTGTTCGTTCAGGTAAATGCAATGTAAACCTGCGACATTAATTGATGAAATGAATTGACGAGTAGAAAGCAAACTGTGTCCTATTCATCTTAAGACCGCGCATCCTAGAAATCTTGCTTTTAAGCTTAGTTTTAGGTTTTTCAATATAAAAATCTTTCTCAATACCTAACTTGAAACTGATATAGGTGTTTTTGTTTTGTCTCGTACCTCCCACAGGTAAGAAGAGTCCATACTGGGTTTGACATCTTCGGGATTAATCCGTTTTCCCTCATAGGGTCCGATCCACGTGCCCACAGGAATGTGTTGTTTCGCGGACACTCCATGCTTCTTGCCAGGTATGCTGGACTTACACAGCTGAACTACATCCGGGAAAGATTTCAAGGCGTAGCTGTTCCAGTCTCCTGGCAGGCTCGGCTCCGATTGGCTAGAGGGTGGATGAATAGGGCAGCGGATTGTATAGATCTTGTTACAGATTCTGCAAACTGAGGAAAAGGATTGGAATGAAATTTGTTTTCTTCTTAACTTTGGCGATGATATATGTATATATCCACTCACAAAAAAAAGGAGGGAAGGTGCTTTTGTTATCCAAATTCTTACCAGGAACCATTCGCTCCCAAATTTGCACTTTACGTTTTGTAAGACTTAGGCTTTAGGCCGTGCAAATCCACGAAATCAAGAAACGTTTTTATATGATACTGTTGTCGATTTATTTCGATTTGAAAGTGCTTCAATGAAAACGGACCAGCCATTTTGGAATAAAGGTCAGCAGAATCGTTTACGTCTGGAACCGAACGATGGCCTCACAGAAAGCAAACAAACACTGAATTGATTGATTCAATCAAGAAACAATAATTCGAATAAACAAGCAAGTCTAAAAAAAGACATCAACCTACATGAAGAAGGTTTCTCCATTCCTGAACCATTTTCTTCCAGTTTCTTGCTCTTAGACTCTTCAATGTTAATTGTCTCAACATTTCCAGTCTTCTGGTGCAGATAATTATACAGGTCTTCGGCCGTGAAGGCAAAACCCCGCGGTTTTATGATTGCTTCTTTTGGCCGTTTTTCCTTGACAGTGCTAAGCTGTGTTCTCGGGAATGCCGCTGCCTTTTCAACAGTGGATGCCTGCATCGCAAGAAAGACAGTAAAAGTGTAACTAGAAGAACAGGATTACTTAGTTACGGTAAGAAGGCCGTTAAATATATCTACCGGTCAAATGCGAGGTTGTTTTATTACAAAGCTACATCCACACGCGTCACAAAGCAAAAATAGCGATAAATATAAACATGAACTCAATATATCAGTCAAATATTGGCTTCTGTTTTTTTACTGACGCTTGTTTTGCAGCGCTATTGAAAATCGATAAACCGGTAAGTTTTGTTAGATAATCAAAAACCAGTCTTGTATCAACACCTAAACAAAATTCTAGAAACAACAGCACAAACAGTTGCAAGGACGTTTAACGGTAGGCAAATTCTGGGTTGTTTTCAGAGACTCCTCAGTGGTACTTCTAATAAAAGGCGGGATACCTTGACTCGGCATCACAGTCCAAGACTTTTTTAAGAACAATTGCAACGTGTCCTGACAAAGCTATATCATTTCTTCTTGCAAGATTTGGCGAAAAAGAGTTAAAGTAGTAAAAATAAAACTACTTGGTGTTAAGTTCAATTAATATTCGTTTCTTAACAACAATCACATCTTATTCAAGTAAGGATACAACTCTGTGCTTTTTCTTACTTTGTTAATTTTGTATCAGTTTCCTCGCCCAGGAGAGGAAAATGTGAATAACGGATTCATGGAGATGTGTCTGTTTGTGGCTAGAGGTTCAACTGGTTCCATTGTTTTTGCTTTCTTTTTTTGCTCAGTAAGCATTGCTTAAGCAAGACAGCCCTTGGGGTCATTTGGGAACGGAAAAGAGTCATCATAAGATAAAGTACTAATGAGTTGTTTTGCAGAAGTGCATCATTTCAAAGTCGGGAGTAGCTCTGCTAACGTCAGCACTGACGCAAAAACGCATTAAAATGAAAACAATGAAAATCCATTTAATGCGATGTTTGTTCAATCGGAAAATCAGCGATGGTATCATGAAAAAAAACTAAACAATCGTTAACCACCTTATATTGGTATAGCCAAAATGATTCATTCGTCCACCAAATATTTATTTGCCTTTCTCAGTTTCTATCAGATAAAGAGTTTTAAAGTGGAATCGGAAAGATGGTGCAAACGTCTTCTTAACATTTTAGGTGTAGATTTCTCAGAGTTTTTATCCAATAATTGAAAAAGAAAATTATGTGTTTCTGTGTTCCTTTTAGAAGATTACCGCTACTCAAGCTATCAATATCATGGTTTGAAACATACGAAAAATTCAAGGAAGAAAAAACTTAAAGCTGAGAGAAAGATTCTGAAGAAATAGATTATCGTGTAAACGGAGAGAAATTTTCTGAATTGCTCGTCTGGAGAAGTTGAAAACTGTCTAACGACAGGCATGCGGAATTCAAAGATTTATAACACCTCCCTGATCAATGACATCATAAGCTGTTTTTGGCGCATTCGCGTCTATTATGAATAGACTCACCATCTCTTATAATTCAACAGGGAATCTTTGCTCCTTTCTTCCCTCAGGACCTCAGACCTCTTTATCTGATTACGTTTTGGCGACTTTCTGCACTTAAAATTTCCTCGCAGAATAAAGAGCCCTCACTGTGACTCCAATTTGTAAAGGATCTTACCCAAATAAAACGATTATCAATAAAAAGTGGCATTATCAAGGGAGCAATACTTGTTGTTATGTTGTGAAGTACTCTAAAAATACTCCAGTTCTTTGCTATGGTAACCTGGCAAAACGTGTGAAAAGGCTTGCATCTTACAAAGAAATTTACAAATTTAACTCTACCCAAAGGTTGAATTGTAAGATTATTAAGTAATGTTGTGGTACTCACGTCACATTTCACTTTGACGTAAAGCAGCTAATGATATACATTGCAAGTGTATTTAAAGAAAAGATCATTAGTTTTGATTTTAATGATGAGGCCTCCATAGCATTGCACGTGGCGTTGAGACAAGGGTTAAGAATAGCACGTGCATTAATTAACCTCAATGACAGTAAACGGCCAAATTGAAGTTGAAAGGCCAAATTATTTCAAAGAAAAACACGAGCAAAACAACCGTACGTGACCTCTCCCAAAGTTGTCTTGTTTTGATATTTTTGTGTTGAGCGAATTTGCAAATAACAAAAATATAGTTCAGCAACAATTAAAAGTATTTTTTCCAGCTTTATGCAATCATCTCCTTACTTGAATCAATATATCTAAAAGGCCCGTTTAGATATAGTCATCTCACCATAACAGTTGGAGATATCGAGAGATAGATATTGGAGTCAACAGCCATGTGTCGAGACGGAATAAGAAAGGAGTACCTGTGAAAGTGGAAGAGCTTTTTTTTCTGGATTGCAGAAGAAAACAACAACAACAGCAACAACAACAACAACAACAACAACTTTCGTTTGAAAAACGAAGGGAGATCGTTTTGTTAGCTTACATCGTAGCCACGAGGAATAGCTGCTGTGTTCTACCACCAAACTGTTTCACTTATCCAATTATAAGAACTCGAGATATTGAACATTGTATTTTAAGGACAGACGGAGCAATCAAAGGCTAAAAAAGCGACGTCTGTTTTAATCTGTCGTATTCTCAGGTATTTTTAAACCTTGAAATAGTGCCAAAAGATAATTCCGTCTGACTCGTGAATCCGAAAAAAAAAATTCTATACAGAAGAAACGTCGGACTTTTTTTATTAAGCTGTTAAAGAGTTAACACAATCCATATTTTACGAAGCAGATTTGTGGCAAGGAGATCGAAATTTGCACCAGCCAAAACAAGACATGAGGAAATTGTCTATCGTAGTTATATTGTTTCTGAAATATATTGTTTCTTCGCTGCTTGCCGCTTCAGCCAATACTACGATACTACAAGTTCTTAAAAATCAGCACTGTAACAAATAAGAGCCTTCTTATTCCAGATATTAGGAGTCATTACTGGATATATTGTCTGTTTTATCTCCAAGAGAATTACTCCTCTATGAGTAGCTATACTCTGTTTACACTATAATGTTTTATTCGGTTTCCAAGTGACGAAATTGCAGAACAAAAAGTCCACTATTGAAGCCGCTGATTTTCATATTCATTTGGTCTCAAAATAGTTTGTTTGACGCTTTGATTACCCAAAATAGAAAACTTTTGTTGATTACTTTACTTCGTCAAATTAAAATAATAAAAAGAGATTTTCATAATGGACTATTTTGCTAAAATTACATCATACCTCACAAATAGAATATATCGTTTCTGGCCGTGATTTGTAATCTCAAAACTAAAAGCACACGTCCTGAATTTTCGATTCTTGATAAGACAGCAGAGAAATTATAATTATGAAACTCGGAGAATTAAATTAAAAGTTATGATGTAATCGTATATTTTAAAAAATTGATCATTTATTGATAATTCAAATGGACATGACAAACTCAAAGGCGATTTTTCAGAGCTTTAAAATCCTTCGTTTCAAAGGTCTTATCTCTGTTTTTATCTTCATTATCTACTTTGTGATATTGTCAAAGTTTTTGCAACTAAGCAAGATGCAGATTCTTGACATCAATAAAATAGACAATACTTTCTTCAAGGATGTACTGAATAACGTGCATCTCAGGAATTTTTTTAAGAAAGATGACACACCAAAATATAGCAACGAGGTTATTACTTAACTTTGAGATCGCTTTTATAATGCTCGATCATTTTCCTAGTTACGAAAGTGAAATTCAGCTGATGTAACTAAATATTCGAAAGTGAATCAAGTGTTCTCAAGCGCACATTTTTGGCGTGTTGAAAGTAATTAATTTTCCACTCCAGTGATTGCACATGTTTTTATGAATAGGATCGCAGTCATGCGTGAATTGCAGAAGTCGGCCGCAACACGTTATACGGCCTCTGTACTTTTCGGCAGCATTAGCTCTAATATTGAATAATCCATCCATTAGGCGCCTGACCACTGGCACTAAAAATATCCGTCAATCTCCACTGCAAGGAGCTTTATAATAACACACTCCACGACGAGAATGAAAAAAAAATTTCCGAAACAGGAAAAAATACCAAAGTCTTTGGGTGTAGTAATGAATAGTAAATTAGGTAGCTGTTTTACACGGGTAACTTTGTGGCAAAAAGACCATCGTTACATGCAGATAAGTTTTGCTGAGTAAAAACGCTACAAAAACTACATTTCTTTCCTTCAGCTACTATGAAGGCAAGCGCTCTCTGATTTCCTCTTTAGTAGTGGTTCAATTCTATGTCATGGTTCGAAAGTTGTCTAAATTATATCAGTTTCGGCGCGAAAACTTACCATCATCTTTGTATCTGTAAACTGCGTCGCCAGACAAGTAAGTTGTTCCTCTTCAAAATCCTCAGATATCCCCTGTTACACGAAGATTGAAAAAATTCTAATGATTTTGGCTCTGAGCACGACTTTTGGAAGAGTAGGAGTGTAACGTATGTTGTTCACCCTGGAGCCTAACGTCTCGCAACTGGCGCGCGCCGTTGAACACTGTGGGCTATTATGATGTCAAAACTTCTTCGGTCGTTGCGAAAACAAATGATCATGTGTCTCTTGTTATGGTAATGGTTCACCACGGTTGAAGGAACAAAGCTCTTTCTAAATACAATATAGACAATAAAAGGGAAAAAAACAACTTAACTATTAATTAACGAACTTTCGTGCGGCTAGATAATTCGATTCGAACCGTATAGGTCGATTTTATCGAGTTGCGAAGATCGCAAGTTTTTCACGGTAGATGAGTCTTTCCCAGTGGCAACTGAGAGTGAGAGGTTTGTATTAAAATGCAGAGGTTTTTGCGCAAATGGGCTTCAAGCTATTCACCCGCGAGGCTTAGGCTTCACTCAGTTTGCATTTTGAGGGCTTTGTCTCAACACGTTTCGAGTTTTGGAAATTTAGCATCAAAGAGAGACGCCTTTGTTAACGTAATAGAATTTAATATCGTGTGCTTTTGTGTTCGCTTTTCTGCGCATCGCTTACTCCCAGCTGCTTTCAAAAGTTTTTCCTGTTTCGCTGATATAATTAACCGACAGAAAATTCTCTGATTTTAAGATAAAACTACTGGCCAAAAACGAGCACTGATAAAGCATACCCAAGATGTTCGCGTAGGTTTAGCTTCTATCAAAAATCGTCCTTTGGCAAATCTTGGAGGTTTAATATTATATTGTCAAAGTAATTTCATTTTCGTCGTTTTGAACTGATCCATTTGGTTTGCTTTCGTCAGCATCTCAGAGGCCACGTTTCAATTGCAAAAGTAAACTCTAAATTTAATGAATGTGAATTGGGTAAATATATCGATGCGCTGTAAGTAAACACGAACTACGTGATATTTCAAAGACTTTTTCCAAAACAGGAATGCCCTAACACAAAGGCAAACGACTTTTTGAAGGTGCAATATGAATAGAAACATGAACTGGTTTCCTGACAGACTTTCAAACAACGAAGCAGGGAGGAAAATATCATTGTTGGAAGAGGTTTTTTTCAGATTTCTTAAAAACATTTGAAAAGCGTATCAGCAGCACTTTTGTATACGATAGACGGTTTTATTTCAACGCAGATAGTTTTCTTCTATATATTGCTTTACGATTGTGTTTTTCCCAGTTGATTAGTAAAGATTCTGCAATCTTTCCCTCTGATGTCAGCTTGCTTTACATCATCAGGTCATGACGGAAACTGAACCTAATCATTCCTAATCAAAGCAAGAATTAACATGGAAAAAATTATGTTCATCTGGAAAACTATGCAATGGAATATAAAACTGAATTTCATCATATTTGCAACAAGATAACAATATCACTTTTATGCCGCTAAGTAGTACGTTATCGATTTTTTTCTGAAACCAATATAGCTTCTTTGTTGTCCTTTAGTTTGGTTTCCAATTGAATGCATAAATTCGATCGAGTTCCGCATTGCCAGGCTTAATTATTGTGAATACTTTGCGCGCCATACCAACGTTAAGAGCTTTTTGCAAAAGAAACTCTCGAAAATGAACGAAATTTTCTCGAGAATTCGGCCATGGAGTTTTTTATCTAACTCAAGAGTTTTATTGCACGCTTTACGTAATAAAACAAAATCACCAAACTTTTCTTCAAAGCGTTGATTTTGTACCTTTTCTAAATTTGTAAACATTTTGTTGTGCGAGCTGTCAAGTTCAAAACAAGTCAGATTTTCTCGGCCTCGACCGAGCAAATTCATGTTTCATTAACTTTTATTAACCACTAGGTTGTCAAACTTTGAAAAAAAACTAGCATTCATCTTCTTGAGATTAATATCACCTGCAATAGCACATGACTGAGTTCCTCTCATATTTATGAACGCGTGATTAGTCAAGCTCGGAGTTAAAAATGACAGCTGCTGTTTAGTCATGCTTGAGCTTCGACCTTCTTCTTAAGAAACGCTGGCTCCGTCATAACATTATTTCGAAAATTATTCTAAAACTTTACTGAATAAACGTGTGCAGAGAAAATAGTAGAAGTCTCTTATTTCATGACAAAGTTACGAGTTTAAACGAATGAGTGGATTTTGGTTTAACCTTTGGAATTGACGTAGTTTCTTTTTTTTTTTTTTTGTAATCGTTTGGAAGTCAAACAGTACTCGAAATAAATATACTGCATTGTGATAATGATAATTGAGCAAAAGCCGACCTGAACGAGCGATAAATTCGCTTTAATTTCTCTTGTAGTCTCGATGAACTTAAGTTTGATGTTCTGTTTGTTCAGTTTCTCCCATTCTCGCCTTAAGATATCATTTAATTGCCCAGAATCATCATATCGCAGTACTGAGTGAAAACATGACAACAAAGCAGAGTGAACAAATCAAAAGCAAATATACGTCAGAGAAACATCTGTTCACCTATCTGCGTATCA